TATATATATATATATATATAGTGAGAACCTAACTGTGCAATATATTGTTTGCGTCATATACAATCAACAGATTTCCTTTAAAAAATGAGAAGAGACTAGCGCAGTGGATGCAAATAGACGAATTAAAAGATATAAATATAACAGCTGGGAAACGTATTTGTAGTGTACACTTTACACCAGAATCTTTTGAGGAACATTGCGCAGTAAAAAGATTAAAAAAGAATGCAGTTCCATCTCTTTTTGGAGACTCTGTTCAGGTATGACTCTTACAGTTTCTTTGTACATGTAGCAAGTATTTATATGTTTATATATATATATGTATGTGTGTGTGTGTGTGTCTGTCATAGAATTATATTTATTTATAAACTGTGTTATATATATAATTTTAGGAAATAGATGACAGTGTAACGGAAATCGTAGAAATATGGGAAGAAATTTGTACAGATAATACACCTGAAGAAACAACAGTTGTATTAAATGAGGTTTATACATGAAGTACTAGACGATGCACAATTATGTGCTTCCTAACTTGTATGCTGGCTAGTAAGTTAACATATGCTGCTCAGTTCTATATGTATATCCTATTGTATGATAGTTTATATAAAATGGATAATTGACAAAATTTGTTGTAGTTTGTAAAATTTAGCGATGACACAAATTGGCTGTTTTAAGATTACATTATGAAAAAGATGAAAAGAAGAATGTATACAAATCAGTATACAAGTCAGAAAGAATAATTGTGCATTGTGTGATATTCATTTCATAGAAACACTTATTATTGTAAAATTATGTATGATATATATTTTTATTGTTTAAATAATAGATAACTAGAGTGAAACGAGAAGTACAACAAGAAGTACAACAAGAAATGAAACAAACAAAAGAACAAGTGGCAGAAGAAACAGAAAAGATTTCCCAATCAAATGTAGAAAAACATGATCTTCCAGTAAGTATTGTGGACAAATCCACAGATATCTATAAACAAAAATCCTGTCCATTAACTTATCAAAATGCTTTTAGGTTGTGAAAGAAATAGAAACCAAGGATGCTTCTGTCCAAACGGTATCTGTATACTATGAATACCGTGAAGAAATATTAGACTTACGAAAAAAATTAACGATTTTACGAAGGCAAATAAAGCAAAGGGAGTCAAGTATTTCCAGCACACGAAAGTACATCCATCTTTTGACAAAAAGCTAAAACTTCTAAGAAAATGTGAGTAAAAGTATACATTTATCAATTAATCATACTAATTCAATAAGGAAAAAAAGAAAAACAATCCTTAGAAGTGTAGAGAGCGAATAATTAACGCGCAGTAACTAATCCGTCTTTGTCATTGCAGTCATTAAAAATCTTTTATTTGTTTCAAATAATCCGTCCGCCCGTCGCAATTACAAAACACCTTCCACGGTATACGCAGCGTCGGAATTCCGTTGAGTATGCTGACGAGTCATTCAACATCCAAAGAAATCCCGAGGCGCCGGCTTTATTAAGAATCACTACGCTCGTCGATGCGGTTGTATATGTGACATAAAGTATTACGTTCTTACGCGCTATTTATATATGTATATATGTATATATGTATAAGATATACATACTTTTTTACGTTATGTTTAATCGTGTTCTCTCTCTCTTTTTCTCTCTCTTTCTTTTTTTTCCAGCCCTGTGACAAAATACGTATGATATAGTAAAATATATGAAAAATCGCTAAATATATATATATATATATATATATATATATATATATATATATATATATATATATATATAT